ATTTAATTACCATCTTTATGTTGATGATTCTCAAATCTACCTTTCCTGTCCCAATCTTTCTCCTAACCTCCACATTTGAATCTCCAATTGCATTTCAAACATCTCAAACGAGATGTTCAGTAGACATCTTAAACTCAATTACATCAGAATTCATTATCTTTTCCCCTAAACCCTTCCCCCCCCTTCCAACCTTCCCTACTGCTATAGAATGCAAGACCATTCTACTAGTCTCTCATGTTCACAACCTAGGAGTCATCCTGGATTCCTCACTATTTTTTACCCCTCATGTCCAAGCTACTGCCAAAGCCTGTCGATTTTACCTTTCCGACATATTTCAAGTACCCCTCCTTCTCTTTTCTGATACTGTCAGTATTCTACTGCAAGCCCTCATCATCTCATGTCTTGACTACAACAATAGTCTACTGGTGGGTCTGTCTACCTGATTCTCTTTCCAGTCCAGGCCATCTTCCATATATCGACTTAAGTGATTTTCCTAAAATATATGTCTTATCACGTAAACTCCTGTGGCTTCCTATTGCCTCCAAAAGCACATACAAAATGCTCTGTTTGGCAGTCAAAGCCTACCCTCCTCATACCTTTCCAGTCTTCTTGCACCTTATTCCAACACGCACACTTTAATCTAGTGCCACTGTCCTCCTGCTGTTCCACAAACAAGACCATCTCTCAGTTCCAGGCATTTTTTTTGGCCATCCTACAAGCCTTCCTCTTCTTCCTTGCCTACTGACCTCCCTGGTTTCCTTTAAGTCCCAACTAAAATTCCACCTTTGACAGGAAGCCTTTCTTAACCCCTCTTAATTCCAGTGCTTTCCCTTTAAAAATGATTTCCTATTTATCCTGAATATAGTTACTTTATATTTGTTTGTGTGTTGTCTTCCCCATTAGACTGTAAGTGCCTTGAGGGTAGAGATTGTCTTTCGCTTCTTTTTGTATGGACAATACTTAGCCCAAAGCTTGGCAACAGTAGATATTTAATAAATGTTTATTGAATTAAATTAATAAATACCCTCTCCTGCTAACTTGGGCAAAGGACTTAACTTCTCTGAGCCTAAATTTCTTCATCTACAAAATTTGTATCACATGACATCTAAAAAACTCAGTCCTACAATTCTATTAATTGATTACATGATCACTGAAAAATAAGGCCTTGAAAAAAGATGAGCTCCCTTCCTCCTTTTTTTCCCTCCTTTCTTATAGAACAAATTATGTAGCATCAATTCTTTCATTAGAAAGATATTTAAGGGGCAGCGAGGTGGCACAGTGGATAAAGCCCAGCCTTGGAGTCAGGAGGACCTGAGTTCAAATCTAGCTGTGTGGCCCTAGGCAAGTCACTTAACCCCGCTTGCCTCTCAAAAAAAAAAAAAAGAGACATTTAGAAAAGCATCAAAGAGAGCATTTGAAAATAATACCATATAACCACACGAATATGATTAAGGGACTATTAAGAGCAGGAAAATAATTTAGAGAAAATACTTCTCTGTCATACTAAAAACGCTAGTTTTAGAATCAAAGGATTTGAGACTTGACACTGCCACTTAAATTGTGTGACTTTTGCAAAGTACTTCTGAGCCTCAGTTTTTTTGCCAGTAAAAAGTAAGATAAAATTTGCCCTTCATACTTCATCAAGTGTAATGTAGTGGAAAAACACTAGATCTGGAGTCAAAAGGATTTGGATCCAAATGTTAACTCTGTCATTTATTTTATATTCTGCTAGTCATAACTACTCAGGCCTCAGTATTCCATAAGATGACCTCCAAGTTCTGCTCTAGCTTTAAATCCTATGATCCTATCTGGATAATACAGGAAATACATTTTCTAAGCTTGATAAGCTGCTCTCAGAGAGTTTTAACGTTTTGTAAGCAAAGAAACATCATGTAAGCCAATTTTTTTTTGCTTACTGTTTATGTTTGCCAGACTATTATCTCTTTTGCAATCCATTTAAAGGTCTGCCAGGACATTTTATTTTTCTTCTGTCAGAAAACTGTAATGAGAGGACAATCTGTAGAACATAGTGTCACCTAAAAAAACTGAAGACTCTATTAGCATATGCAAATGTCCAGGACCTCAAAAAAAATCAACCTTTAAAAGCATTTGAGTAATAGGAAATGAAGATGTCTTACTTTGGTAAGACAAATTAGAGCTCATAGTTCAAAAAAAGTCAAAATAACCAGTAAACTGGTCTTTCATTAGAAATATCCTAGCAAAATCACCATCCCCAAAACTATACTTTTTAAGTTTTAATTTTTTACATAAGTCCAACCAAAAAATGAAGTACTTAAGTATTTAGATATCACATCTGACTTTCTTTTTATGCAACTATTTCACAACTAGCATCTAACAAAATGGACAGTACTACTATGGCTATAAGTGCTGCAATTAAATAGAAAATTACATTTACATCCCCCCCAAAACCCTTAAGGTTACAACTGTCAAAGTCTACAATTTATATTATCATGAAGATGTCTTTTTATGTAATATTATATAGCTATGTTCACTGATAAATGTCTAGTCTATTTTTATATTAATTCCTTGTATGTAAGAATATCGGGCAATAAACATTTATTAAGCACGTACTATGTGCCAGGCACTGTGCTAAGTGTTGGAGATACCACCCCCCCAAAAAGGCAAAAGATAGACCCTGTCTTTAAGAGGCTCACAATCTAATGGGAGAAGACAACAAACAAACATGTACTTAACAGAAGAAGAATTAGGAGATCTTATGAGAATTTAAGATCCATCATGTGGTTTCTAGATTGGATTTTTTTTTGTGCATCAAATACACATTGGCTGTAAACAAAAATGAAAAAAGTATAGTCATAAAAATATTTTATTGGTAATTTTACATAATAATGGGTGACTGTAAATATTTTTGTCTGTGTTAACATGTGCATAAATGATAATTATGCCTGAAAATAGGGAACTGCATGTTTTTCATAGGAATTATCTAAAAATATTTAATAAAGGGTCAATTAAAATGACGAAAGCTGACTTAAGAAATAGGATAAATTATTATTCTCCACTTCTGTGCACCACTCTATATTTCTGTAGTACTTATATTTATACATATGGATAGCACTAAAAAAGTCTGGGGCAAGGAAAGAATGATAAAATTATTATACATTTAAATTTCTTTCAGTAATGAATGAAACCTCTTAAATGGAAATTTTCCTGTTGCCTTTTTTTGTGACAAATGCATACCATCATTTGAAATGGAACATTTTATATAGTACGTAAAATAACCAGTATATAATGATAATAGTACTGGTATTTGAATTATAAAGCTAAACAACTGATACCTTAAAATGTTTAGTATTTTGCTAGTAAATATAATAAATGAATGTTAAAAAATGTCAATAAAAGAAAACCTGATAAACCAGTAACAGTAATCTAAAGATCCTTTAATAACAATTTTCCTACTTAACCACAACAGGTACCAGCAGGTATACTTCAAGAAGATAACTATTATGAAAATCTAGTTGCTCTAATAGTTGATTAAATTGATCTGACTTGTATGTATATATGTATACACACATACACACACACATACACACACACACACACACACCTCTTTTATAATTCTCAAATAATACATATCTAGGCAGCTTGAACTATGTTATAAAAATTTTAATTCAGTACATGCCAATAGTAGTGAAATCAAGTTTTAAGTGTTGGAATTCACTAAGAGTGAAAAAGATTACCAATAATACTGCATAATGAATGCTCCACCACATTTTCATGGCACTTTTAACTCTGGATATCAAAATGTTAATTCTGGAAATGTGGTCTTTAGTGTAGATTGCAACAAAATTATTAATCTTAATGCACTTATATTTCATGTAAAACATGTTGTAGGCTGAGCATAAATGGTTGTCATGAAAATGTGGCATGTGTTGGCCAAAATATTTGTATTTTACAGAGAAATGACTAAAGAAATTGGAAAAAAGTAAACTTTAATGAGACTCTCCATTTAATGATGAGGCTTCTCCTCTGGGTGAAGATGACCTGGACATTCCTCTCTCTGTATTATCAGAGCTAGAACCACTCTGACTATGATGATCTGCAGAAGCAGCACTAGATGCAGGTGGTGACTTAGTTTTCTCCTTAAAGTCTGTAATAATGACTGTCAGATCTCCAACGGTCACTTCCAAATGCTGAGCGCTACTCCGATCCACATTTTTCAATCGTGGCCTAAATGAAATTTATAACATTTTAAACTAGTTTTGCCCTCTAACATAATTTCTGTGAAACTTATGTGCAAAATTTACATGAAAAATACATCTGTGTAAAAAGTAAGGTATCTAGTATAACAAGCATGCCAGCAGTACACTGATGTTAAAAAATGTGGCAATGTTTACTATTCAGCATTAGAGCCACAACAGAATGGTTCCAACTATAAGTCTTATCGAAATCAATCATGAAACATTTAACTTAGTGGCACAACAATCATGTAAAAGGATATGGTCTGAACCAATGTTATAAATATGTGCAAATGTATAATTTATGCCAAAATAGTGTAGAGAATTCAGCAATAATATGTCTCATTATCAATATCTATACTTTTTCACTAAAGTTTTATGTAACTGATGACTAAAAATTATGGTTGGAACAGTCTAGAATGCTTATTCCAAAGAGTGTGCTGGTGTATAGGCTAAGAGTATTCGTCATTAAAAAAACCAAATGGCTAATTCACATCCTATTAAGTTACATATGTGAAGAGTACCATTTTTAATTTCTATGATTTAATTTCTAGGACCTTTTGAAACCATTCAAAACTTTAAAGTTATTTTTATGCACATAATTTTATGCACATAATTTTTATGCACATATTAAATCTTTAAAAAAGAAATAAAAATGTACAGATTCTCCAAATGCTACAAAATATGTTTCAGATTTACCTGGTTTTCTTATGACTGTTCTTTTTGCTAGTTGTTTCTTTTTCACTTTTTTCCTTTTCTAATTTATCTTTTTTCTCTTTCTTTGATTGTGGGGGGGGCACAAACTGCTGGGTAACTTGCTGTGCAACCAACTGGGAGACAGGTCGAGGTTTCCTGTGTACATTTTAAAAAATAATTTTATTGTATTTCAAGAAAATGTTCTTACAGAATATTATGTAAAAGAAATACAAACTATGACTTCCAAATTATTTACAAGTTAAAGTCGGATCATAAAGTTTAAAGAGAAAATAAATTACTTTGCTTTTTCTGTTAACATTTGGGAAAACTAGGCCAATTTATGACATAATATAATTAAAGCATTCTGAGCAATAGGAATCAACTTAATTATTAGATTTATTAATATCTGAAATAAAGCAAGCCATCAAACCAAATGTTTGTGGTAGGTACAACATATGTAATGAATACAAATCATTAAAGCATAAGTATGGATTACTGTGTGCTGGTATTATATAATCTGTATTTACAAGCAGATTTAGATAAATTCAAATATTTACTAAGTAGTTGATACATATAAAGTATTGAAAACAGAACACTGTTCTTTTCCTGAACACATATAGAGCAGGCTTCTTTATTCTGCGGCTCAAAATGTCTTATTTCTAACCAAAACCAATCCATTTTTATTTGAAAACCTATTTTTCCCTTGTAAAGCAGGCAAAGAGAATAACCTCAGAATCTTTCCCCTAAACTAGGGAAAAGGTTATCCTTTCTAGCACCAAGTCAACAATTCTAGTTCCTCTAATTTTTCCTTATAATTGACTTTTTTTTTTATCATTACACAGCTGTACTCTGGATTCACAATTTTTTGACATCCTTTTGAGTATACACAGATCTTTGTAACAAGGGAGGTTCAATTTAAAAAGCTAAAGACAAAAAACATTAATAAAACTCACTTTGAAAACTTAAAAAAAAAAAGTAGTGACCAAAATTATACATCATTTTATAGTAAGGGTCTAAATAATAACAAACACATTGAAAGGTTTCTCAGCCTTTGCATTCATTGTACTGATTTTCAGTATCATACTGGAGCTTTATGGTTTAACGAAGGTAAAATATTATCCCCGTTTTGCAGATAAAGAAACTTAGCCTCCAAGAAGGTAAAGGACTTGCCCAAGGTCTCACAGAGTGTCAAATTTAATTCAACATCATAAACATTTTATTTAACAAATATTTCAGTGTAACTACTATATGAAAGATACGTTCATAGGCACTATGTGTACATTATTATTATAAAGTTGGAAGGCAAGTAGGGACCAGATTATGAAAGGCTTTAAATGCCAAGCAATAGATTTTATATTTTATCATAAAGGCAATAATGAACCACTAAAGATTTTTGATCAAGGGAAAGAATATGTCCAGATTTTTGACTTGTGAAGATGATTTTTGAAATGTGGAGGTTGGGTTTCAGAGTGGGAGAGACAGATCAACTAGGAGGCTATTGGAACATTTCAAGTGAGAGGTAGTAAGGGATGTAATTAATCTAGGGTTTCCCCACAATATATGTGGAGAAAGGGAGTCAGATGCGAGAAACCTAGGTAGGTAAAACTAACAAGATTTAAAGCAAGTATTCAAACCTAAGTCACTTGTTTCTCAGTCTAGCACTTTCTCCACTAATCCATGCTGATTTTTTTCACTATTAGCATGTCTTTTTCTAAGTGGATTTTAGGCAAGGATTATGACTTGGTCCTATTTAATACTACAGAGGTCTGTATAGGGCTGGGCACAAGCAGAACTTTTAATATTTAACTGAAGAGATTCCAAGGGATAATACAATAAAAATTTTAAAGAATCACTTGTGCATAGAACTTGCACAACTGCTAGGTTGTGCAAAGCTTTGAAGGCCAGGTAAATAGGTCTGAACTTTATTCAGTAGGCAATAGGAAGACAATGAAAATTTCAGCAGAGTACTGATGGTAGCAGACCCCCTTCTTCCCCCCACCCCAGTTTGCAGTACCTGTTCCCTCCTCCCCATTTACAGAGTACATCTCACAAATAAAGCTAATCCAGGTTCAAAGTACTCTATGGATCTACATCCACCAATGTGTTGTATCTTTACAAGCAAGGTACGTAACAGTCAAATGAACAGTGAAAGTACATAACTAGTTCAAAGCAAAGGCATTCAATGTAATAACGTGAAAAAAATAGTAAAAACATATTATATACCTGGCCAAGAATATTAGTGGAAGAACATATAGTAACAAGCATTTATTAAGCACCTATTAAGTGCAAGGCATTGTGCTAAGTGCTGGGGACACAAAGAATGGTAAAACACAAGCCCTTGCTTTCAATAAGCTCAGATTAATAAGGGCAACAACCCACAAACAACTATCTACAAACACGCTAAATGTAGGACAAACAGGAAATAATAGACAGAAAGCACTAGAATGAAAAAAAATTAGAAAGGCTTCTCACAAGAGGTGAGATTTTAGCTGGGAACTGAAGGAAGCCAGGGAAGCCAGGACACAGAGATGAGGAGGCAGAACATTCCAGGCATGGGGAATAGTCAGTGAAAATGCCCAGAGTAGAAGAAGATGGAGTATTATGTGCGACCAACATCAAGAGGGCTAATGTCACTGAAGTGCAAAGTGTGTTGGGGAGTGTAAAGTATAAGACTGGAAAAGTACTAGGGAAGGGGGTATAAGTTTAAAAAGGGCTTTTAATACCAAAGAAAAGATTTTGTATTTGATTCTGAAGACAACAGGGATCCAATGGAGGGGGGAGCATGAGGTAGAGTAAGGGCTCAGCAAAATGGTCAGACCTTTGCTTTAGCAAGATCACTTTGATAGGTGAGTGGAAGATGAACTGGTGTGTGGGAGAAACATTTGTGTCAAAGAGACCAATCATTAGCCTACTGCAATTGTTCAGGAGTAAGACAATGAGGGTCTGCCCCAGGGTGGTGGCAATGTCAGAAGGTGGTATATATGAAAGATGTTAAGAAGGTTAAAAAAAAAAAGTGACAGGCCTTGGCAACAGATTAGATATGGGGGAAGGGGATGGGAGAGTGAGGGGTCAAGGATGACACTTGGGTTATAACCTTGGAGGCCTAAGAGAATGGTAGCGCTTTTGAAAGTAACAGGAAAGGAAAAGAAGAGGATTTGGGAAAAAAGATAAATTCAGCTTGGGATGTGTTGAGTTTAAGATGTTTAAAGGAAATACAGTTTGAGATGTCTAATATTAGACACTTGGAGATGGGAGACTAGAGACAAGCAGAGAGGTTAGAGTTGGATAAAAATATATGAGAATTATCAGCACAGAGGTGATAATTCAATCTATGAGAGCTGATGAGATCACCAAATGTAACAGAATAGAAAGAAATGAGATGAGGATCTGGGACAGAGATATCCCGCGAGAAAATCATGGTTAGTGAACATGACAAATAAAGATCTATGAAAGGAGATTTGAGAAGGAAGGTTCATATAGGCAGGAGAACCACGAAACAGTACTATCACAAAAACCTATAGAGAAAAAAATATCAAGGAAAAAAGGGTGATCCATAGTGTCAAAGGCTGCAGAGAAGGATAAGGATTGAGAAAAGACAATTTTGAGATCTGGCAATTAAGATATCATTAGTAACTTTGGAGAGAGTAGTTTTCATTGAATCAGAAGCCAGACAGTACAAAGTTAAGAAGAGAGTGAAAGGAAAAGAAGTGGAAACACCTATTGTAGACAGCTTTCTCAAGGTGTTTAGTTACAAAAGGGAGGAGAGATATAGGACAATAACTAGTGGGGTGGATGGATCAAGTGAGGGTTTTTGGAGGACAGAGACACAAGCATGTTTGTAGGCAGTTAGAGAAGCAGCTAGTAGACAGGGAGAGATTGAAGACTAGTAAAAGAGTAAAGTTGCTAACATTTTCTGATAGTGTCACTGAACTCCTGGTGTCAAGTCTGCTCTTTGCTGGTCTGCTCTAAATGCTGCTACACTCAATATGTACTTTCCACTAGTTACAGCTAGGCACAGCCCCATTAAACCATAAAAAGCTACTATGGTGCTTGGAAGTTCAAGATACAAACTCAGAAGACAAATGACATGAAAATGTCTACAAGCATAGCTTTGAAGAAAAAAATGCAGAGTGGACAAAGCCAAACAAGAATTCCTAGAAGAATTTCTAGAAAGATTTTTTTTAAAAGTAAAAAAATGATTTTTAAAAAAATCAAATAAGAGCAACAAAGGAAAAGATGGGAAAACAAATGAGCAATGCAAGAAAATTATGAAAAGAGAATAAACAGTTTTGGTAAAAAATAGACAGACACACACACACACAAACTGAAGGGGAAAAAAAACCTTAAAAAACAAAACTGACCAAATGGTAAAAGAGGAACAAAACTTCACTCAAGAAAATAATTCCTTAAGAAAATCAGAACTGCTTAAGTGGAAGCTAATGACTGCATAAGGCATCAAGAAACAACAAAACAAAGTCAAAAGAATGAAAAAATAAAAAATTCTGAAATATCTCATCAGAAAAACAACTGATCAGAAAAGTAGAGCAAGGAGAGATAATTTTAAAATCATTGGACTACCTAAAATCCCCGATAAAAAAATGAGCCCAGACATCATTTCTTTTTTTATTGGTAAATATTTTTATTAATTTATTTTTGAACTTAAATACAAAATAAGAAAAGAAAAAGAAACATATTATAAACTTAAATACTAAAACTTAAATACAAAATTAGAAAAGGAAAGAAAGCATTACCATGTACACAATAGAACGTGAGAGGATTCAAAATATATAGAAATAAATTTCCATTTCAAGAAAGCCTATATAATACCACACACGGTGTTCAGAACTGTCCATCTTTATTCCTTGTGAGTTTTCTTTTGTTCTCTGCTGTGCACTTTTTACTATGTTCTTGTTCTTCCCCCTTTCTCCTCCTCATCCACAATAAGGTTAGAATTAAGCATGGATACATACACACACATGCATGTGCACAAGTACACATATTGACACATATATACACATATATATAATTAGATATCTGTAATCATAATCATATAGCGACATATACATTCATTTGCATCTATGTAAGACTGTACTGTATTTGTTTATCCTCTGTTTCTCTGAGGGTGGTTAAACATCTTTCATAAGTCCAAGTCTTTC